CCCCAAAACCCCAAAACCCCAAAACCCCTCAAAGGAAGGTTTAATGATGTTCATTAATTTGCAAATATATAATTAAAGATATGTAGAAGATTTAGAAGACAATACTCCAGGAAGCCTAAGAGTACGCAGGCAAGTTCCTCTCTGCCATTAACGAGTCAGTCACTCACTTCCATGCTGTTAACTACTGCAAGTAAAGACTTTCAGAGAGCGGATTCCAAGAAATCAGAGAAGTGTAAGTACATACATAATTACCAATTGATATCAAATAACTCAATGCCAAATCAATCTATCAATGGGGATAACAGAAGTTAACCAATTTTTAACTGTAGTGATGAATGGAATCTTGAGGGAGGCAAGAGTTACTTCTTCACAAGAAACAACTCAACCTTAGTAGCATTTATTGCTGGCAGTCAAGCCCCTGCAAATGGAGTCTCATTGTTTAAGATTATTGGTTGCCACACTGATTCACCTGTGCTTAAACTTGCCCCAGTCTCAAAACTCAACGATAGAGCTGGTTTCTAGTAATTAGGAGTACTTTTATACGGAGGAGGTCTATGGCACACTTGGTTTGACAGAGATCTTACTCTCGCTGGAAAGATCATTGTCAATGAAGACGGAAAGCTTGTTAGCAAGTACTGGAGAGCTAATGAGCCAATTCTGAAGGTACCCAACCTTGCTATTCACTTAACTGACAGAACTGGCAAATTTGAGCCAAACAAGGAGAGTCATACCAAGCCAATCCTTGCTAGCTCAATCGTTGATTAACTTTTTGGAGAGGAGATTGAAAGTCTTGGAGCTGAGAAAGATAGATATAGAATTGAGGACAAGCATTTCAAGACTCTCCTTAACAGAATTTCTCAGGATTTAAAGATTGAGAGAACTCAAATAGTTGACTTCGAGATTAATGTGATTGACTCCCAGCCATCATAACTTGTTGGTCTTCACAAAGAGTTCATTTCATCTCCCAGACTTGACAATCTCGGATCATCTCTCGTCTCTCTTGATGCTATCATCGAAGCTAATCAAAACTAGAAAGATAATGCAGAGGTGTCTATGATTATGCTATTTGATCATGAGGAAATAGGATCAACATCAACTCAAGGAGCAGATTCAAACATGGCAGCTGTAATCACTCAAAGAATCTTCGAATCACTCTCCCCACAACTTAGAATGAGTGACTACCAAAGATCAATGAGAAGAAGTTTCCTTCTCTCAGCTGATATGGCTCATGGTCTTCACCCCAACTACTCAGACAAGCATCAACCACAACATGCACCCAAAATCCACGAGGGTATTGTTATTAAGACTAATGTCAACCAAAGCTATGCTACTGATACAGTCAGTGCTACAATTATTAGAGAGTTAGCAGCTAAGGTTGGAGTTCCCATGCAAGATTTCGTAGTTAGAAACGACTCTCCTTGCGGTTCCACCATTGGTCCAATGATGGCTGCTAATGCTGGCATTAAAACCTGTGATATTGGAGCTCCAATGCTAGGCATGCATAGTATCAGAGAGACTTGCGGAGTCATTGATCTAGTCTACTACCGCAAATTGTTCCTTTCATTCTTGGGTGACTACTCAACAGTCTCTAATTCTCTACTCTCAGAATGAACTCTTTTTATTGATGAAATTCACTTCCTTAAGAATTTAATCTAACATTAAGCAATTAAATTAATCATAAATAATCATTCATCTTATTATTAATGCTGATACAGTGTTCAAACTTTTGAATGATGTCATCTAAGCAATAGATTATTGTCCTCAGATTCATAATAACTAATTTTTCTTCTCTTTTTTGCTAGTCTTTCTTGACTGATTATGCTGGCCACTGTGATTCAAATAATGGCTATCATTGTTATGTCCTGCTGCTGCTTCTGATGATGATAGCTGTGAATCATCAAACTTTTTGTGAATCTTTTCTTAAGTTTATTCCAAAAGGCTATTGTGTTTCTTTTCCAAGAGAGGCATGTTAATGGTGGCTAGGTTTAGTACGAAACTGATCAGCAGGAGAAATCCCAGAATAGTATTAAGAACTTTACCGTACTCAGCTTTCTAAGACTCGGCAACCAGTGCATCCAATGTCTCTCTAAGTAATTATAACATGAAAAACACTTACGTATCTTGATTCTCATTAGCATACTCATTGTTTATCTTAGCGATCTCATTAATACTGAGAGTTTGAACTGATATCAATATCACCAGTGATAAGCCCTAAAATAAGACATTAGTAAGTACGATATTCTTGAGTTTGAAAATGATGATTGATACCTTTGAAAGTAAGATGAAAAGTATGGAGAGAAAGAGATTGCTGCAGTCTTGTTTCTCAGCAGTGCGTGCTTCATACTGATAGTAAACGAACTTACTCTTGATTTTGTCCCATAAAGGCCATTGATAGATATAGTAAATGCCTACAAATAGATCGAAAAGCAGCACAAATGATTGAAGCTTAAGCATTGGTGGCAGGAATATCTCTTGAAGATTTGTGAGTGCTTTTGGTGATGATTTGATTGATAGAGCCTCTGTGTTAGAGATGAACTTGCAAACCAAACAGAAGTTTAAAACTGAGAGGGTAAGCACAATAAGGTTGTACGTAGACTTCACAAATAATAACATTTTTATCTATTAATTTTGCTTATTTTCTTCAAACATTAATATTTTACTTCCATTTACCCTGGGGGTTTTGGGGTTTTGGGGTTTTGGGG